CAGTCAGAAGATGACGCGAACGCGCAACTCGCGATATAATTAAGGATCCTTACCGAGAATTATGAAAAAGACGAGAAAATATAAAAGCACACAAATACTACCGGACATTAACATTACCGGAAGAAAAGGCACCAGCAAACAATTCGTAAAAGATGCCCACATCGTGTCCTCCTCTTGTCGCGTCAACTCTTTCTGTCCTTGGAAGAGTCGGAAACAACAGTGTAATTTCATCGTCTGAGATTAGCACAGTTACCTGACTGCATACATATATTATCAACACACCTTTCTTGCCTTTTGAGATAAGAACAAAAATACTCTTTCTCTATCTATTTTCCTCTCTCTCTTCCTCTTTCTCTTTCTCTCTCTCTTTCCCTCTCTCTCTTTGTCTCTTCTTTTCTCTTCTCTTTTCTCTTCTCTTTTCTCTTTTTTTCTGTGTCTCTCTTTTCCACTATGTCTCTCTCTTTCTCTCTCACTCTCCCTCCCTCTCTCTCTCTCTCTCTCTCTCTCTCTCTCTCTCTCTCTCTTTCTCTCTCTCCATTTTATTCCAATTAAAATCAAGAGAAGAGATCCTATTTTTAAACAAAAATCAGTAGAAGAAGAAAGATATAAATATTATATTAAAAAAGGGGAATCTTTTTGAAATATAACTACACAATTTGCAGTTTTTTCCAGGAAAAGAGGCCACCGATACTCTACTTTTTAGCACCAGATTTTAGTCATCGGTACTGTGTACTCCGATGTTCCTTTATGAATCACTAATACTGATTGTAGACAGACCATACCACATAAATATGATATAGCTCATTGACGAGAAGAAATTTGCAAGATTATAATAAAAGGAACAAAGATTCGATTGACGTTAGAGATACACATCCCGGGGGAAAAAAAATAAAATAAGAAGAGACAGAATATCAAAGAAAATTAATGGCAATCTAACGCAAGAGATGATTATTTTCAAGCTAAAACAGAACACCCGTCCAATTGGATTAACGATGATTTTCTACGCCGACAGACAAACGAGTCGTCTTTTTTATTTCTTTTTTTTTTTATTTTATTTTATTTTATTTTTTTTTTTTTTTTTTTTTTTTTTTATTTTTTATGTTTTTTTTTTTACTTTATGGCATTTTAATACACCTGCTGTTTACCGAAAGTTTTCTGTTCAAACTGTTTTCAAAGCTTTCGGATTAATCGTCGCTTTTTGTTCTCGATATATTTTTATTATACGCGTTTACATCTCATAGCGTTTTTTAATTTCGTCCTCTTTTGTAATGATTTCTCGTCAAAATGCTGAAATCGTACAACGTCGTTTAAAGAGTTATCGTCAAACGAGTTCTGCGATCTACTTTTCTCTCCCTCGTATACTTTTATTAGACTTGGAACTCGTTTGTTCTCTTCATATCGGCGATATTCATTCAATCGTTCGTTCGTTCGTTCGTTCGTTCGTTTAACGACGATATTTAAAAAGATATATCGCAACTTCCACATTGATACAATAAATAAGCATTGCGAGGTATCACGATATTTTCACAATTACGCATAGATACCGTAGTATTTTACCGATTCATTTTATTTGTCCAAAATACTGTGATAGATTTATTCTGATCGCATTGTTTCCTGTATCGGGTGAAGATTATCATTGTTCCTCTCTTAATTGATAACATTCATTGTAATCCAACATCAAACTATGTGAGCTGTATCAAAAGTTGGAAGATAATCCTCGCTCCAAGAAATATTAAAACAAAAACTATAATAATATAATAATAATAATAATAATATTAATAATAATAATAATAATAATAATAATAATAATAATAAAATAATAATAATAAAAAGAATAAGAAGAAAAAAAGAGAGAGGAATAAATAAATACATAAACGTGAAAATGTTGGTACTCTGGGTCGTGATTAGTGTGGTTGATGAAATAACGCGTATGCACCGTACTAGAAAGAAGTTGATCAACTAAAAATTCAAACAAAGTGATGCATATAAAAAATTAACATGTATTTAAGAATATATTATATCCGCTAAGAAAAAAAAATTAAAATAATAATAATAATAATAATGAGATAATAAAAAATGCATTAAAAGTATGTCATTTCGTTTAAATAAGACGCAGGACGTTCAGTGTGTTGTAAAACGGATTTCATTTTAAATTAATTAAGGACTGTATCGTTATTATATTGCAACTGTTTTAGGAGAGCTATTATATAAATATATGCATTAATGAAAATGAAAAAATATAAAAGTATCGAGAACGAATTTAAGATTACTACGAGAGAGAGAATATGGCAAATACGTGTGTGCGAGAGTGTGTAGGAATTATTTTTGCTTTCATATACTTTTTCACATCGTTAATAATCTGATTGAATTAATTTTAACTTCGATCTTTACGAGAAACTTTTATCATTGCGAAAATGCATTATATATATAGTATGTATATTTCCGTTAAGAGATATAGACAAATTTTAAGGTATTAATGTTCTTCTGAATTTGAATATAGAATCGTTTTTCTTACTTTTTCTTTTTCTTTCTTTTTTTTTTTTCTTTTTTAATCAAAGAGGAAAGTCATATATTACACGAAACAAAATGTCACAGTATGCTGAACAATTTTTATGAGTAATTTTTATGAATAATATATGATTTCAATGAGTATATCAATTCTATTTATCTATTGTTTTATCTATTCCGCGTTCTATGTTTCTCTCTCTCTTTCTCTCTCTCTCTCTCTCTCTCTCTCTCTCTCTGTGTTTATGCATGTAATATATATATAATCATATGCTCACCCACACATATGTATACATATATACATGTATCTTTATCTTTTTATCTTTTCAGCATCATTAATATTTAATATTTGTCAAATCCTGTTTCTCTAATCAGGATCTTGAACAATTTAAAAAGAACTAAGTCGTAGATATATAGACGAACACAGTCTATCGAAAAATATACGAGTCAGTTCGTAAAATTTATGCTTATAATACCAAAATCAAGATTATCACTAGATAAATATGTGTGCACTTGTATTATTACGCTAAACACAAACAAATAGACAAACAAACACATACACACAAGATAGAACACAAAAGACATTAACTTACGATTAATACGTTGAATTAGATTCTAAGCGTATTTTCGCGGGGGACCCAGTGTACTATCGAATAGAAACAAAAAAGCCTTAGCGTATGAAACAGTTTGAACAAAAAGAAAAAAAGAAAATAGAAACAAATGAAGTAAACTTAAATTACGGCGATTTATATGTTACACACTTAAGTGATACTCGCGTTTAAACCAAATAACGACTGATTTCAAAAGTATAACAATTTAGATGATAATAATAATAATAAAGAAAGAATTTGCATGACGGTGATCGAAATCTATCGGTCACGAGTATTTTAGTTTCCTCGTATCGATAGTGAGTGAACAATGTATTGAACTTACTTTCCTTTTTTTATTAACATGTTTTTTCTAACATCTTTTTTTTTTTTTTTTTTTTTTAAACATTCTTGTTGTTTCTCATATAACGGAAGTATTCAACTAAACATGCGTATCATGCTCTGAAAAAAGTTATCTCCTCGTATATATATATATATATTTCTTCTCGCTCGCATTATACTTACTACCTTGTCACTTTCAAAGACGTATTATTTATTATTTTTTAAGAGCTTTTGTAGCGTAAACAAATCGATGCATGCAAAAGGATAATCGCTCTTTAACTTATACATGTCACATTATTATACGTATTATTACGCTACGAGTCATTGACAGAGGAAAAAAGGATATTTTAAGTTACGTTCGAAAAAATATACTCGGACACTTGCCTGCTAAAAAATATTACCTTTTAAGAAGAACTCTTTCTAAAAAATATTTCAATATATATATATATATATATTGAAAAATATTTTAATATATATATATATATATATATATGTATATATATATATCTCGGCTTTTATGAACCATCAGAATTTTATATAGTAAAGTGAAAATTAAGATATCTATACACAAATTAGTGCTTTGGAAATTGAATGAATAATTTATTAAATATCTTGTTTCTCTAGTTTTTTATTATTTTTTTCTTTTATATATATATATGAACAATAAGCATTTATTACATTTTCTTAATTCTACAGGCGCTAAGTGTTGAAAAAATGGAGTCTATTATTACGTCAAATGTCATTCTATAGACGCTTAACATTTGTGGATGTAATAGAGATTTCGTATTTTTAATACCAGATCCACCCATTCTCAATGCCGTATCACATTAACTTAGGATTATACATAAAAGAAGATTCAAACAGAGGTAAAGATCGGCTAAATGTATTTCTCTGTCTATAAAAGAAAAAAAAAGAGAAAAAAGAACAAACAGCATAATATACGATTTTTGGAAAGAAGTGTTTTATGTATAAGTAGTGATGTACTGATGATAAAAGCTTACTAGCGAGAAATGTTAACGTTTTATTTTTTATAATCAAATAATTTATGAGAACAATTACGAAGTAACAATATACAATCCCGAATATCATATGCATTTAGTCAACTTCTGAGCGGTTTTAATCGATGTACACAAAATTCAATATGTGTACATCCATGTAAAACAGAGTTTTCACGTTGTTGCTTAATGAATAAAAAAAATAAATTCAACTAAAACTATACGATCGACTTCTTATCCTAATAAAAAGTATATATGTCCTGTTATATTTATGGGTAATCTAAACAAAAAAAAAACTGAAATTAAATCTCGAGAAAATTATTTTCATTTTTAATGAAGTTATGAAATATAAAGATTGTGTAGAATTATTTCTTTTTGACAATCAAAAATCTGTAAATTTAACAAGTAAAAAAAGAAAAACAAATAATTTCGATTACAAATCACATGTTTATTAATGTTCGTAATAATTTGTATATTACATATGTGTGTATATATATGTATATATAACTTGACCAGCAAGTAATGATTACAAATTGTTACATTAATTAGGTTGCGATATCCAAATAACTTATTTGTTTTTAAAACGTATATCTTACATAAATTTTTTACATTATTGCATCACAGCTTTAGATTTGAATTGAAATCTGTACTATGTACACAATTGAAATATTACATTAAATTTATACAAGAGTCAACAGAACGCATGGAAGAAATTTCTATCAACAAACAGTTTAAAATATTACAAACATGTTTGTATTAGAACAATACTGAAGTATAAATAAATCACTTTAATAATTTCGTCTCCACAAATATAGTCGTAACTTTTCTACAAGATATAAAACTATTTTAGAAGTGTTTGACAGACAAAAAATGTTTTGGCAAGACTTTATCGACATGTTAGTTCTAATTTTTAACAATATAAACTTACTGCCTCTGCATTGCAATGGGAACAATTGATAGAATAAGACTATACCATGCAGACGTTCATATTTAAATAAGATTAATGATTTGATGATTCAAAATACAAAATTCTAATATAATCTTTGGCATACGGTTTTTACATTTTATCTAATAACTTTGGTTTCATTTTTTAATCGTCCTCAAAATCACCACTACTCTCATCTTCTAATATAATTGTGTTTTGCTTTTCTGTAAATAAAATATCTTGGCTTAAGGCTGGGACTTGCCGAGAAAATTCACTAGTGGCCCATAAAAATAAATCTAATGTTTGTTCCGTACATTCGGCTATAAATCTAACAAATGGCCTAACATCGCCACTATTAGCGATTTGCAAATTTTCATAATACTTATGACGATGTTGTTTCTGAATAATGACTGGAGGATATCCAGCTTGCATAAGAATCATATTCATTAATAAACGGGATGTTCTACCATTACCATCAGAAAATGGATGTATATGCACTAATTTATAATGGGCAAGAGCTGCATACCTGCGAAATATTTTTATACGTATTAATAATAAGTAAATTTTTCATTTAAATAAATTAAAGAGAAAAATATATTCTTTTACCTTACTGGATGCATTCTGATAGCTCTCTCACTATTTAGCCACAAAGCAAATTCTTCCATAAGGTAATGAATATCGTCAGGGCCTGGAGGTACGTGTCCACCTACATAAACTTGTGTACGTCGAAATCGTCCGCCTTCGACAGGATCTACGTGTCCTAAAACTCGCCTATGTATTTCTAATATATCTTTTATAGAGATTGATCCTACTCTGCAAATAACAAGAATATTTAGATTCAGTATAGTCCTATGCAAATTTTACATAGTTGAAGCAATTAGAAGACAAGTCGTTTTCCTTAATTGCAGAGCATTGTACGACAAGAAGAATTAACAATTAACCAATTCCACACATTTATAAAACTGATGAGAAATGTTTTACAACACAAAATGAGTAACTTTAAGGATTATATTACAATGCTCACGTTTGGAACGTTTGATCACTCTCAGTACCGCAGCAAGCTGTATTATAAGCATTCCAGTCTGGAGCGTTCAATCTAAGCAAAAGCATTAGATACAGCATTTAACCACAATACAAGAATTTATTAACCTGTTACATGTAATGTAAGTTTTATACTATAATGATATGAAGTAGTTATATGAAGTATTGTAGAAATATAATTATATTTTAAAACAGTTTATTGTGATAAAAATTTTAATATGTTTTATAAAAGTACTTTTCAAAAAAGTCAAGATTTTAAAAAATTCTAAATTTTAATTATCAAATTTTTGCATATTACATTGAAAATTAAATACAAATATATTTGCAACAAATTAAGGAATAATCACTTGTCACATTATATGACATGTTAATTATGTGCAAAAATGACATTCCAAATTCTAATAAATGACAATTAATAAAAATTTATTTTCTATAATAGTTTTAAAAAATATATCATGCACTATAAACTGTCTTCAAAATGAGTTCAATAAATAAAAAATGAAAAAATAAAAAACCAGATACCAAAAACATAAGATAAATAACTTTGAATAAGTATTTTAAAATTAATTCAAGAAGTTCATACCAAATTATAAAGAGAAATATAAATCAAGATTTGTAAACCAACCACTAGAATTAATATCATGCATATGAAAATAATGTCACATGTGATTTGATTTTTTTATCATAGAATAACTCACTTATTAACTAATGTAGCATTGATATATTTCATAGCAGCATCTAATCCAAGTATTTCATTGTGTTCATCAATACTTTTTCCAGCAACAACAATTCTTGTTTCAACAATGGCTCTTGTTTGTGCTAAGTTCATGGTATTTCCTTCTATGCCCACTGTATGATAAATATGTTGAAAGTAAGCTTCCTTCTTAGCTCGTATTAATGCAGCATTATTATCTGGTATGGCAGATAATGCATTTCTTTTTTGATCAATACGTCTTAAAAATTTCCTATCTAGTTCTTCAACAACGCGTGCAGTTCTTTGGCTGTTGATTAAGGCACTTTTATGATTTGGTTGATAACTTAAGGCACGTATATAAAACTCATTGGCTTTGATAACATCATTTTGCATATGTTCCAAAAACTCTCCATAATGATTTAGAACATCTGGATGATGCGGTGCTAACACTACAGCGTGTTGGAATAATTTGATAGCTTTTTTCTGTTTTCCAGAAAGCTTCATCTCTAATGCTAAATGTAAGGACGATAGTGCTTCAGCCGTAGATGCAGCTGTTCTTTCTATCTCAGAATTTTCTGTTTCAGATGGTCGTAATATAATACTCATTGCAGCTTCATCATAAACATTCAAAATGCCTTCCGAAGGCAATGGTGAAAATACATGATGGAACTCCTGTCCTAAAAAGAAATTCCTGAATGAAAAAACTTCTGAAGTTCAAAATTTTTTAATATTAAATTTGTTTATAATGAAAAGTTTTATAAACATACCTGTAAAATCTGTCGACAATCCACATATATATTGCGTTAACAATGTACCAATAACGGCGACTGCAATCCCTGATACGAAGACAAGAAACACGATTAACCGATTCGGTGTCATATCGTCTACATCATTTTTTTTCACACTCTTCACGTAAGCGGACTTTGTGCAAAATATATAATTCTCTGTGGTGCTAAATGGTGGCATCTTTTATTAAAATAATAATATATCGAAAACTTAATTTCCTTATTAAACTTTATCATCCTTTTTCTTATGACGTTTACCGTACAACAAGAACGACTGACTAGAATCGACTTTCCTATACATGTGGTTCATTTCTATTGGTTATCTCGATTCACTTGCATACTCTTCACTCTGTTACATAAACTACATTTTTCTACAGCTGCATATATATAAATTATATATATATATATATATATATATATATATATATATATATATATATATGTATATATATATATATGTATGTATGTATGAATTATTTATATAAATCCAATTGAATCGTAAAGAAATATTTTCCTTGATACGTAATTATCATATATTGAATATATATTATTATTAAAATAATGCTACAATTATAACAAAGTATTTAATATAAAAATTTATAGACACTTAATCGTACGATATGATTATAAAATAGAATATATATTTGAATTTTCGTAAATTATTCACAGAACATTTAATTATTTTAACATAATTAATCTTATAATATATAAAAAAAAAATGTAATGAGAAAGTACAAGTATATACATATATGTCATTTTGAAATGGGGAAACCAATATATCGAATGAAAATATCGAAAGGTTAATACTACCTATCGAATTTAACGCAGCCAACTTCGTGGCGGGTCAAATTGAAAACACTAGTGAGAAGAATTCTAAACCACTCTAAAACTTCGTTTAAGATTTAAGATTTATAGTTATAACGTTAAAGGACTTTTATAACGGTTTTATAAAAATATTATGAAAGCTATGTCTCATCATTACGTGGTGACGGCACATAAACCTACGGCTGTCACTGCTTGTGTGACTGGTAAGTTTTGTAATTTTTTTCAAATAATAGCAAACATAATTTCTATAATCTTTACTTTTAATATTTCTCTCATTAAAGGTAATTTTACGTCACCAACGGATCTGAATTTAATATTAGCCAAAAATGTACGATTAGAAATATATCTAGTTACTCCAGAAGGATTAAGGCCCTTAAAGGAAGTTGGAATTTATGGAAAAATTGCTGTAATAAAGTTTTTCAGACCACCGGTAAGGTTATTACAATTGTTCAATATCCCTTAATTATGATTTCCTCCTTTTTGGCCTTTATTCTTTATGTTCTATATAATATTCATATTTACTCATGTATCTATATAAAATCTGAATTAATATCCACAAAGTTCTTTTTTGTATTTATATAGTATGAAAGAAAAGATTTGTTATTTCTCCTAACAACACGATACAATGCTATGATTTTGGAATGTATTGGAGAAGGAGAAGATATAGAAATAAGAACCAGAGCACATGGAAATGTAGCTGATCGTATTGGAAAAGCGTCAGAAACTGGTATCAAAGCTGTCATTGATCCTAAAGCACGTGTAATAGGACTCAGGCTATATGATGGTCTTTTTAAGATTATTCCTTTGGATAAGCATAATCCAGAGTTAAAGGCATCGTCTATTCGTATGGATGAACAACAAGTGCAAGATGTTCATTTCCTACACGGATGTGCTAATCCAACATTGATCTTAATTCATCAAGATATTAATGGAAGGCATGTAAAAACACATGAAATCTCATTGAGAGATAAAGAATTTGTTAAAATACCATGGAGACAAGATAACGTAGAACGTGAAGCCATGATGGTGATTCCTGTGCCTTCTCCAATTTGTGGTGCAATTATAATAGGACAAGAGAGTATTTTATATCACGATGGAACTACGTATGTGGCTGTTGTACCTCCAATCATTAAACAAAGTACTATAACATGCTATGCTAAAGTAGACAATCAAGGGCTCAGATATTTATTAGGAGATCTAGCTGGGCATCTGTTCATGTTGTTTTTAGAACAAGAAAAGAAACCTGATGGCACACAAGTAGTAAAAGACTTAAAAGTAGAACTTTTAGGCGAAATTAGTATTCCAGAATGTATAACTTATTTGGATAATGGTGTAATATTTATTGGTAGCCGTCTAGGTGATTCTCAATTGATTAAGTTAATAACAAAGGCAGATGAAAATGGATCTTATTGTGTACCAATGGAAACATTTACAAATCTAGCACCAATAGTTGACATGGCTGTTGTTGATCTTGAAAGACAAGGACAAGGTCAGATGGTTACTTGTTCCGGTGCTTTTAAAGAGGGTTCTCTTAGAATCATCAGAAATGGTATTGGTATTCAAGAACATGCAAGTATCGATTTGCCAGGCATCAAAGGCATGTGGGCTCTTAAAATTGGTGGTGGTAATTTTGATAATACATTAGTACTTTCTTTTGTCGGTCAGACAAGAATTTTAACTTTGAATGGTGAAGAAGTTGAAGAAACAGATATACCAGGCTTTGTTGCAGACGAACAAACCTTTCATACTGGAAATGTGACTAATGATTTATTTATTCAGATTACGCCAAGCTCTGCAAGATTGATTTCAAATGAAAGTAAATCTGTTGTATCTGAATGGGAACCCACTAATAAAAGAACCATTAGCGTAGTTGCTTGCAATGGTATTCAAGTATTATGTGCCACTGGTAATGATTTATTCTACATGGAGATTATACATAGTCAAATTATTCCAAAAGGATTTGCTACATTACAGCATGAGGTGGCATGTCTGGATATTTCTCCATTGGATGGAAGCAATGAAGCACGTGTAGTTGCAGTAGGTTTGTGGACAGATATTTCTGTTCGAATTTTAACTCTACCTATTTTAGAAGAAATAAATAAGGAATTATTAGGCGGTGAAATCATACCAAGATCAATTTTAATGACTTGTTTTGAAGGTAATACATATCTTCTGTGTGCACTTGGAGATGGTAGTATGTATTACTTTACTCTGCATAAGCTAACTGGTCTTCTCTCAGATAAGAAAAAAGTTACATTAGGTACACAGCCAACAGTACTAAGAACCTTTAGGTCCTTATCTACGACCAATGTTTTTGCTTGTTCTGATAGACCAACAGTCATCTATTCTTCAAATCATAAGCTTGTGTTTAGTAATGTTAATTTGAAAGAAGTAAATCACATGTGTTCATTAAATGCAGAATCATATCCAGATAGCTTGGCATTGGCTACAGATAGTACTGTAACTATAGGAACAATTGATGAAATTCAAAAATTACACATACGAACTGTTCCACTTGGAGAATCACCTAGACGAATTGCATATCAAGAAAGTTCTCAAACTTTTGGCGTTATCACAATGCGGGTAGATATGCAAGAAAGCAGTGGTGTTAGTATTGTTAGACATTCTGCATCTACTCAAGCTGCTTCAACATCTAGCAGTAGTCATATAGCAGCTCATAATAAACCAACAGGACATACGGCCAGCGAGATTGGACAAGAAATTGAAATCCACAATCTTCTTATTATAGATCAACATACATTTGAAGTTCTTCATGCACATACATTAATGCCTACTGAATATGCCTTATCATTAATATCTACAAAATTAGGTGAAGATCCAACTTCTTATTATGTAGTGGGAACTGCATTAATAAATCCTGATGAAACTGAACCAAGAATGGGCAGGATATTATTATATCACTGGGGTGATGGAAAACTTACTCAAGTAGCAGAAAAAGAAATCAAAGGATCATGTTATTCATTGGTAGAATTTAATGGAAAACTTCTTGCAAGTATCAATAGCACAGTTCGTCTATTTGAATGGACTGCTGAAAAAGAACTCAGGCTAGAATGTAGTCATTTTAATCATATTATAGCACTGTATCTTAAAACCAAAGGTGACTTTGTCTTAGTTGGAGATCTCATGAGATCTTTAACACTTCTTCAATACAAAACTATGGAAGGTAGTTTTGAAGAAATAGCCAGAGATTACAATCCTAATTGGATGACAGCCATTGAAATTTTAGATGATGATACCTTTTTAGGAGCTGAAAATTGCTACAATCTCTTTGTTTGTCAAAAAGATAGGTAAGATGTTATAAAGATAGAAAATATTGATTTGTATTTATTAATAGAACGAAATGTTTTAAATTCGTTTGACGTATTTTTTATAGTGCAGCTACTTCTGAGGATGAAAGACAACAAATGCAAGAAGTTGGTCAATTTCATTTAGGTGATATGATAAATATTTTCCGTCACGGTTCTTTAGTAATGCAAAATTTGGGTGAATCAAGCACACCAACTCAAGGTTGTGTACTATTTGGAACTGTAAGCGGTGCTATTGGTTTAGTTACTCAAATTCCATTTGCATTTTATGAGTTTCTTCGTAACTTAGAAGATAGATTAACAAGTGTAATTAAAAGTGTTGGCAAAATTGAACATAATTTTTGGAGAAGTTTTAACACTGAATTAAAGATTGAACAGTGTGAGGGTTTCATAGATGGCGATTTAATAGAAAGTTTTCTTGATTTAAGTCATGATAAAATGGCAGAGGTTGCCATGGGTCTTATGGTAAGAAAAAAGCTTAATCTTTAGTAAAAAATATTATAAACATTATTTTCTACATTTTGAAATACATTATCTCTGTTCAGATCGATGATGGTAGCGGTATGAAGAAAGAAGCAACGGTTGATGATCTCGTAAAAATTGTTGAAGATTTAACAAGAATACATTAAAAAACTTGTTTGACTGATTTCTGCAGTCAGTGGTATATAAAACGTATATATGTGGTAATATACCAAAAGATAAATTTAAAACGAACAAAATGTAAATACAGTTCCATTTACTTAAAGGATAGAATTTATTTGAGAACTTTTTTATTATTATGTACGTTTTCATTAAATAATAGAAAAAGTATTATAATTAAACAAGTTTCCTTTCCATAGAAAACGTCTCTAAAATTAACAAGTTTTGCAGTTATAATAAATATTGGCATTTTTAAATGCTACATATTTTTATAAGCACTGAATGGTATTGATAGATTCCTATGAATTGAGTAAATTTCATATTATTTTTCTTTTTCTCTCTTCTTATTATAATATACATTATTTTCAAATATAAATTATTATAACAGAACAAAAAAGTATCTGTGATGTGTCCATAAATTTAACTGTACTGCAATACTTTATCATTTATTATTCTCACTATCCCTTATTTCGATATCGTTTTAAAGCATGCTAACAATTACTACTGTCTGTATAAATAGACATTGTTTAACAGTTTTCAACTGTATAAATACTATGGTATAAATATTTGTGTTATTACCAATTTGTTTTAATAAAATGACTGTTTTAGCCGCTAAATGGAATTATAACAATAAATTTACATATTTGTAAGATTGAATGTAAATAAAAAGAGTCATCCATTTGGAGATAGGATTTTTACTATTACTTTGCGATAATTTATTTTTTGGTATTTTTTACAATTTTTAAAGTATATGGATCAAATAACCAATTGCGTAAGTCTTCAAGACCTTGTCCTGTTATTCCACTAGTTTCAATTACACTTATCTCCTGAGTAATTTCTTTTTTCAAGCGTGCAAATTGAAGCATTAGAAGAGCTTCATTTCTCATTTGTCTGTAAGAAAGATCCATCTTGTTCAAAATTAGTGCAATTTTTATATTTTTTAATCTTGGCTCAACTAATGTAGAGTACAATAAAACACCAGCTGCACTAATTTGGCAAAGATTACTGGTATCCACGACATAAATTAATTTATAAACCTAATAAACAATGAAAAGTACATAGTGATATACACACACACACATACACATATATATATGTATACAAAGCATTGTGTATGTATAGCAATTTCATTCACGATTACCTTGTCGAAGTAATGTTTCCATATTGGTGCCATATTACCACCAATCTCTCTAATAATTATGTCAAATTCACCAGTATCATTTTTTACTGTAAATAAATTGATACCATTAGTTTGTACTGTGTGAGTCGCATCATCTATTTCGTCACCTTGAAGACGTTTCAACAGAAGCGTTTTACCAGATTTCAAAGCACCAAGACATAAACACATGTTTATAACTTATTCTATGAATAATAAAAACTTCACGGTAACTTTATAAAACTGAAATACACAAAGAAAAATATTTTCTTTTATATATGTAAATTATTAGAACAATTGCGTTTCATATATATCATTGATTTGAAAGGATGATGTATGTATGTACGTACGTAAAATATGTATCTATAATATTGATCTAACAACAAGAATTCTTAGAAATAATTAAAGTTTTCTTTATGTTTACAAAAGACTATAAATATTATCAATATTAATTGTCAACATAATGATGTTTTATTATATTCCATGAACTTCAGCACAGTTATAATATACATGGTTGTAATTTACTCAAACAAAATTCTTTATTATTACAACGAATATCTGATACATAATAAACATATACACTTAGCAACATAATATAATTATTTCTTGTAATCCACATAAAAAAGAAATGTATATATGACAATTAATTTTATAAGTACAATCTGTTCTGTTGTGTATGAAGTACATCGATATAAAATACATGGGCACATTATAATGTACACAGTCATATTTTAAACTTTAACAAGTAATAAAATAATATGTATACGTTTATATCTAAAACATAATAAAACCAATATCACAATATATAGAAATATTTAGAACAAATGTGCACAATAGTACAGTTTTCATTTGTTGAACTGAGTGAGAAATGCTATATATTACTATTTTCTTACAATATCCTTAATAAAAAATTTGCTTAATCAAATTAAATAAACAATATATTTAATCAAACATAATCATTTACTTAACCAAACGAAACGAAATGACATGTGTTTAACATATAAAATAGTTTTTTTATAATTTTGAAAAAGTCATATGCTTTAAAAAAATATAAATTAAAAAATATAAAGCTTTTTAATTACTAACAATAGGAAATAATATTTTAATACATTTTTCTAGCAATGTTAGTTACAGACAAGTCATGTAGTGAGATAAAAATTGCTGTCTGTGAATATTAATATCAAATCTAATATTACAATATTTAATATATGAAAGCTACTTATTATACTAGTAATTACATGATTCGAATTACATTTTCGAATTTATATCGTCAAAATATATAATAAATCAAAATAAAATTATTTACAAAATGCTATTAATCCTCAAATGGAGTCTAAATAAAATAAAATGATTTTCTTACGAATATATCTAATGTATTATAGATATATTCCACATATATGTGTGTGTTTGTGTGTGAAAATATAAACATAATTTTTTGAAATTTTTTGAATTTTTAAGAAGTATTCATATAAAAAAATAAAATAACAAAAATTGCCTTGTTTTGAGAAAACAAGAATTTCCTAATGTGCACAAGGCACTTGAGGTTTATTTTCCATATATTAACTTACTATAATTTAGTTAGTTATTATTATGTCAATATCAGTAATCATTGTATATCAATATACGTCAATTAAATATAAGAATTTCTTGTTTTCTTAATACTTTTAAAGAATAGAGATTTGTTTAATTTCTTATGAATTGACTAATCTTATACTATATCTATAGTACATATAATTTAATTTCTGTACAAATTTATTTATAAATATACTTATGTGCAATTAGTGTGTACACTATTTATCTACGAACATTAATTTATAATTTTAAATATACACATATGTGTATATGACTTAACTTATAATTAAGTTCTGTACATAGGCTCAAAGAAGTAGATTATAGACCAAACTATCAATACTCTTGGAGGTATTTGTGTATCCTCAATATAAGACTAGATTTATGTATATAACTCAGTTGTTATGTCATTTCACGAGATACCACTTGTACTTGTTTTGGTATTTGCCATGTATGCAGGCGTTTGTCTTTACTACCAGCTATGATCTACAATAAATAAATTCTCATATTTTTATACATCTTTATGTAAAAACTATAGCTGTACAAGTAATATATACAAAAAATAAATAATTTTATTATTTATAAAATATTAATATTATCTTCACAACTTTTAAGTACCTTATTGTCAACAACTTCCATACTCAGTAACATATTTCCTGGTCCAGGTATACTACAAATTAGTTTATGATCCTATAAAAAGAAATAATCAAGCAATTTATATACACTACATATTTTGTATATAACTGTAAATAAATATAATTTTTAAATAAGATTTCTTACCTGAATATCAAAAACATAAATATTTCCATCATAACAGCCAGCAAATAAAAGCTTATGATAAAGGCGCATGCAAACGATACCTACACCTGCATCATATTGTACTCTTTGCTCTCCGTTCTATAAGAAAAATAAATATAACAATTTCATTAAAAATAAATGTAACAATTTCATAATAATATATTGTGTACAGTTACAAATTTGATATACTAACAGTGAAATCAAAAACAAGTATCGAAGTGCTACTTGTACCACAATAAATCAAGTTATTATTTCGCATCAAACTGTAAACGGTGTGATTCTTCTGTCCACAAATTGTCCGCAGAAATAATCCATTTTGTGCATCTCGTATTGTTATTGGTTGATTACGAGATGCTACAATAAGAACTCTTCGCGGACCTTCATTTGTAGCTTTTAAAGCAAGTACAGATTTGTCAGAAAATTGTATGCTATCACCTTTGATAATACCAAACTATAATACAAAAACTTAACATTATTATAATATTACAATACAATAGATATTTACATTTATCAAATTAAAATTAAAAAATACATCTTCATACAAACCTTTATATGAAAACGAGAAACATGTCCTGATTTAGTACCAATGAATATTATACCCCAAGCTTGATCCATACACTGAACAGGACTTCCAACATTTGCAACATTATTAATTGGTACACCAGTCTAAAGTAAAAAAAAACAAAATATATATATATATATAATTAATCTAATTATATATAATATAATAACTGAAGAATAATTGATCATAATTATATTTACTTTTATATTGTAACATCGCAAAGTTCCATCCAAAGAACCTGAATATACCAAGTTCTTTGGATGATCAACACCACTGGATTTGTGGATATACAAACATGTAACTGCTGATCTGTGACCTTTATAAATATTTAATATTCCATTAGATGTTTGACTGTATCTATATATTGAGCCATCTTCACTAGCTGCTAGAAATGTATTACCAAATACCTAAAATATACAATATTTATAATATTTTTGTTATTCTTAGAATATATATCAGAATATATAATTTAATAATATTATTTTCTTCAATAAAGTCTTCTATGGCTTTTCATTACACACAAATTGTTAAAAGTTCACATTTTTGAAGAATTATCTAAAAAATGAAAAGAATAAAAACATTTAATTTGTATTTTTACCTGGATATCTAATATAGGCCCTTTATGAACTGTATATTGTCTTTTCAATGGCTGTTCGCCTTCTGTAATTGCATCTGATAATGGTATTTCCTCATCATGATGATGATCTATGATATATTGATCTTTTTTTCTTTCCTCTACAATTTCAATGTCTAGTTTTTCATTTTGTGGTAACATCTTCATAATTGAAGGAACAGTTTTTACTGATGTTACTGATATGACTTTGTTATTGGATTCTGAGGATAAATGTTCATCATTAAGTAGTGGATTTACTTTATGATGAGATTTTAATTCTTTTTTATTATCCAAAATATTGTGTGTTTTTATTTGCTTCTGACACAAATTCGAAATTTGTTCTTGCACATTGTCAGATATATTTTTAATTTTTTTTATATCTTTTGATTTATTTGTTTCTATAATCGAAGAATTTGTTTTAGATGATGTAGCAAAATGTGTAGAATTTATTGTAGCTTCTGTTGCAGTAGATTTATAGGTAGTTATATGAGATTTAACAGAATCCATATGAAATTTTTCTACAACATGTTGATATATATTTGATTTAAATACATCAACCAATCTTACTTTGCAATTCATCATTTCTGATTGATTATGTATTTTTCTTTTAATTGCGATATCTCGTATTTTAGGTGTTAATGCTTGAGAATCAACATTAGATGAAAACCGTTCAATTACGTTTTCTTTCAATATGAATGACTGATAGTTGATGGATGATTCATCTTCTATAGGGTTAGTGTATTTTTTATCCTTACTACTTTGTAATTTTTGACAATTACGATTTCGTTTCGTATTAGATAATGTATTTTCAAGTTCTTGATTCATTGGAGATATATCTTTAGAATTACATAGAATTTTAGGTGAATCTTTTCCTCCATTTAAATTAGTATTATCATGTTCTATATGTTTTACATTATCCTCTGTAGACTTTGAATTCCTTCGTACCGAAACATTTTTATTACTGATTTTACATTTTGATGTTTTTTTATCTTGAATATTACTAATTTGAAACGTATTAGAAATAATTTTATCTGCTTCATATACAATTTTTGGTATTTTTATTCCTTTATCTTCTAACAAACAAGTGCTTTGTTTAATATTTTCTTCTGTTTTATTACTATATTTAAGTTTCTCAGATATTGACATATTAATATCCTGATTTACTAAAGAACTTTCCTTTTTATCAGATTCTTTTAAAGTCCTCTCTGTCGCTTCTACAGAATTGTTTATACTTTCAAATATTAAATTTTTTTTTAATGTATGATTATTTTGATTCTTATTCAATTTTTCATTTGAAATATTTAATTGATTAGCTTCTGTAAGAACAGATACATTAGAAATATGATTCGTAGTAAATGTTTCATCAACCAAAGAAATTTTCTGTTGATTAATATTATCATAATTTGACTTATCCACTATAGCAGACTTTACTTCTGGATTACTATAAGAAACTGCAATAGATTGTGCTTCAATGTCTTTAATTGCATTCTCTTCTTTTTCTGTTTGTTTCAACTTTTGCTGAATTACATTCTTTCCTGTAATAATTGATGAATGTTTAATAGAATTTTGCTCATGATCACAACTTAGCAACGCGAAAGTAGGTTCTGTTTCATTTAATTTCTGTAAAGATTTACTTGATGATGTAATCAAATTTTCATTCCCATTCTCTTTACTTTTTTCCACGTACAAAT